GCCATAGAAACCATGGCAGTGACTTTCCTTAGATATTTCTACATGCATTTGAAAGACATATACCCTGGTTTGGCCATGCACAATTTGAAGATAAAATCTTAAACATCATTTCTTACATTTATACTTTATTTCCAGTGATGAACTCATTTATTTCATATTTGTAGGCGTTTTATGCATTAAACCTATCTCTTAAGTGGTGAGAAGAGATTTCATCAAACGCATATGTAAACAAGATTGCATTTGAGAAAAATGCTATGCCACCGCATTAATACCTAAGCTCTCGGGCCTTTTGGGCATTTACAAGAAGGTATTTTAAGTTTTTGAAGCCTTGTACCTTGTACCTTCAGACAATAAGATTTTTTTATTTTTTACTATATGTATATATTGCAAATCAATGACCCCCGGGGCAGAACCAATTTTGACCCTAGGGCTTTAATTTGAACAATCTTGCTAGAGGTTCACTACACAATGTTTCATGCAAAATATCTAACCTCTAGCATTTGTCAATTGCTAGAAGAATTTTTTTTAAAGTTTTTACTATATACATTTAAGGAAAACCGATGACTCCCCGAGGCGGGGCCAATTTTGATCCCAGGGCTATAATTTGAAACATCTGGGTAGAGGTATACCACACAATGCCTTATGCAAAATGCCTTATGCTCTAGGCCTTTTGGGTCTTTACAAGAAGGTATTTAAAGTTTTTACTATTTGTACATATAGTGAAAATCAATGACCCCCGGGGCGGGGCCGATTTTGACCCTGAGGATTATAATTTGAACAATCTTGGTAGAGGTCTACCAGGCAATGCCTTATGCAAAATATCTAAGCTCTAGGCTATTTGGGTCTTTACAATAAGGTATTTTAAGTTTTTACTATATGTACATATAGTGAAAATCAATGACCCCGGGGCAGGGCCGATTTTGACCCCAGGGCTACAATTTGAACAATCTTGGTAGAGGTCTACCAGACAATGCCTTATGCAAAATATCTAAGCTCTAGGCCTTTTGGGTCTTTACAAGAAGATTTTTTAAATTTATTCTTATAATTCCTTTTGGTTGCCATGGCAACCAGATTTCTGCATGGAATGAAATTCTTTGAACAACTTTGGAAGCCCTTCACCCAAGGATCAATCCTGCCAAGTTTGGTTGAAATTGGACTATTTGTTTTTCACAAGAAGATTTTTTACGTTCACTATATAATCTATATAACAATGACCCGGGGCGGGGCCTATTTTGATCCCAGGGCTATAATTTGAACAATGTTGGTAGAGGTCTACCAGACAATGCCTTATGCAAAATATCTAAGCTCTAGGCTATTTGGGTCTCTACAATAAGGTATTTTAAGTTTTTACTATATGTACATAAAGTGAAAATCAATGACCCCTGGGCGGGGCCGATTTTGACCCCAGGGCCATAATTTGAACAATCTTGGTAGAGGTCTACCAGACAATGCCTTATGCAAAATACCTAAGCTCTAGGCCTTTTGGGTCTTTACAGGAAGATTTTTTAAATTTGTTCTTATAATTCCTTTTGGTTGCCATGGCAACCAGATTTCTGCATGGAATGAAATTCTTTGAACAACTTTGGAAGCCCTTCACCCAAGGATCAATCCTGCCAAGTTTGGTTGAAATTGGACTACTGGTTTTTCACAAGAAGATTTTTTAAGTTCACTATATAATCTATATAACACACACACACACACACACACACAAACAAACACACACACACACACACACAGGTGAATCGCTATATGCCACCGCATCGCAGATGCTGCGGTGGCATAAAAATGTAAATAAACGTATATAAAAAAGTTGTTACCATACCGACAAATCCCATGCCAAACAATGGATTCTAAAGAGGGCAAAAAGGCAATTTAGCATCAAAGGACAATAAGCCAAAAGCACCGGCTTATTATAAAAATCAGGGTCTTTATAATAAAATACTATATTTGAAAGACCCACCCACAAAGTTTCAATCTGATATCTCATACGTACATGTAGTTTAAACCAATAACTTCAAGGTCGGGCATAATTTATATTGATGTACGAGTTCTTGTTATAACCTGGGACTAAAAATGTATCTTTAAATAAACCTTTATTTCACAATTTGCGCATTATTCTTTCCGATATTGCAATATGCAGGAAAAATAAAAACAGTCAATTCGATTAAACTACTTAGTGACACAACGTAAATCGAACGAATAGTAAATGACTGGTTTCTGACTTTACTTCATTGCGCAGTAAATGCGCTTGAGAATTGAAAAGAGAACCAGCTATTTCCCGCGGATTCGATTACGCGTACGTAGCAACCAATTAAAATGGCCGATAAGAGTGTTTCTGTATGTCATAACGGATTTTAAGAAATAATGTGAGAACGACGGAGATCAGTTATTTTTTTTAAGCGCTGTGATTCCCCCTTTATTGTGATTTATATTCCCTAGCGGATTTAAGTGCATGGTTAAAAGTATATTGACTTGCCATACAAAAGTCGGTTCCACGGGCAAAATGACGGAAGTATCTCAGTCAAGTCTTTACGTTCAGCAGCGCGTTCAGTCGTCTTACTTTCCTGCTATACCAGTTGGAGCTCCCAAAGCAACTCTTTCATATCCAAGGTCTGTATCATATAGGGATTAAACGATGATCGAGTATAATCGAAAATTGATCGGTTATAGAACCGATCGGCGATGATCGATTACAAAGTTAAATAATCGATCATCAGTAATTTATTTTCTTGCTGTTACTTAAGTGACTAACTGTATTATAACAACACTAAATTAAAGCCAGTTTTGTTTGAAACATTTATTTTCATTCAATTGAATATGAAAGCATACTGGTGACCATTGAGTTAATAGTTGACATCAGGCATGCTAGTTTAAAGGTATACTATGCTAAAATTTGACATTAGAAAATATTTAAAATTGCTATACCGTCTATTTGTAGATATAAAATAAACATGTTTTGACTTCACACAAAGAAGATATGTTATGTATAAAATTATTCTACACACAATTGGTGGTTGTTGCAATATCAATATATAGTGTCATTAAAAAAACTGGCAGTTTTGTTAAGAACAATTCGACCAACTTAACTTGTTCCCATACATAGTTTATTCATTCCTTTATAGAAAGTGAGATATAATAATTTCATAGATTTTAATGAATTTATTTGATTAAAATATTTTACTCAAGGATGAGCATAGTATATCTTAAAACTAATTTATTTCAGTTGATAAAGTGGTGGTCACATGGAAATGGAATTCTTATAAATATTAAAGCATGATATGTACATTATACTTTTTACTTTGTTATCATAAATGTTTCGATTATATAATCGATGATTGATCGAAAAGGGTTGTTCGATTATTTTCGATGATCGATTATGATTTTTGTCCGATTAAGAAACCCTAGTATCATATGTCGGAATGAAAATAAATCGGCATTGAATCAGTCACATTGATGTTTTCTCTTATTTTGTGTATCAGTATGATATAAGTTATCACTGATAGAATCAGTACATGTGTGTGACATTTTGTGAAGGGCATGTAGAATTTGATATCTTTTGCACAATTATTTATATTAAAATTTATTTAGAGAATTTGGCATATTTAGCATTCAAATAATATAACAAAATACATAAGCTATATATATATATAGTATAGACACTTTCAAATCCGTTCCTGGAACCAACCAGTAGGGCCTAAGTAGTTGAGCAATGAGTGTAAAGTTTCTTGCTCAAGGAAACAACGGCTTGCCCCTGATGGGGTTTGAACCCATGCGGCTAGTGATCATTAGATTACTAGTCCGACGCGTTAACCACTCGGAAACTTCTGTAACTTATTTAACAGCAGTGTCATATTTGCATATGGACCAGTGTTGAGATGATTTCGAGACGTTTCGGCCCCAAGACGTATCGGCCCCAAACTACCCAAGACGTTTCGGCCCCGGACGTTTCGGCCCTTTACCAAATCGGCCCCAGAATAAGTACTGTATTTTAAACCTATATATAAATAGCATTTCAATAAACAAATTCATTTATATATATATTTAATCATTTTGTATAAAAACTAGATTATTATAGTAGTAGGGGGGAAAGTAATCAATACAAACAGAACAGAACATAAACTTTATTTGAAAAAATATAATTACACAAACAAACAATTATTAACCATATATATAGATAATATTTTATTTGAATGATTAAGAAGCAAGACACAAAACAATACCGCCAATTAGCATAAAGTATAAACAGTTAATTAGTTACACTTACGTATAGTTTAATTAAGATCAAAAGAGAATGTTTTCTAAGGAAAAATTGTAAGTAATTAACTTTCTTAATCCAGAAGTTTTAGTGGTTTGTTTTATAAGTAAGTAACCGGCCTTTATTGTTTGTTACACCTTTAAAAACATTAACGTATATCTAAATCGTTCAAGAGATCAAAAGCTAATAAATAATTATTCAAAGAATTAAAGTTTCATAATTGTTTAATTGTAATTCAATTTATTGTTGTTGATAAATCAAGCAATACACTATAGTGGGGCCGAAACGTCTCGCGGAAAAGGGCCGAAACGTCCAGGGGCCGATTCTTCGACTGGGGCCGATTTGGTTTGGGGCCGAAACGTCCTGTTTGCGTTGAGATGGGTCAAAATTGACCAATTTTAGTAATTTAACTATTCCCCAGCAAACAAAAGACGTTGTACCAACGTTGTACTGACGTTAGACCCTGACGTTGGGTAAACGTTGGCAGAAGGTTGGATTTGAAAGTTTTTTAGACGTCAGAAACCGACGTCTATACAACGTCATAAAATGACCTTTATCCAACCTTTTCTGACCATAATCAAACCTTTTTTGACCATTATCTGACCATAATCCAACCTTTTCTGACCATTATTTGGACATAATCCAACCTTTTCTGACCATAATCCAACCTTTTCTGACCATTATCTGCATGACCATATGCCAACCTTATCTGACCAAATTTTCTGACCATGATTTAATCTCATTCAAAACTTTTGGAATATGATTTTTTCATTTTAAATCTCTTAAATAGGGTTAATAAATAAGCATTCTTATGATTTTAGCAATTTATTTTATACTCGGAATCACAAGTACAAAACAAGAAATGTGGTACTATAACAAATGCAAGATTTACATAATATTTTTTGAAACTATTAAACTTGACGGTATGTACTTTAATATCGCTTCATGTATTAATTAAGCATGTTTTAGAAATAAGATAAACAAAATCCTTCTTGAATATTAACACTGACATTTTATTGCATGTGTTTTTTCTTATATCACCATTTAAATGATCACTCTGAGTTTGGGATTTTTCAATCATCTATTTGTATATTTTTCTTTGTATTTTATAACTGAATCTAGATCTGAATGTTAAATGGAACAATATTCTGAATATTTTGTTATAACTATAAATAGCAATGTTCATGTATCTTCATTACTATTCTTCTTTCGTCCTCCTCCACTATGTCGATCTGGGGCATACTTTAAGCGTATCATTACTGTCTCCAACCTGAGATCTCATCACACTTTCTGAAATTAAAAAAATAAAATAATCAGTTACAAGTGCAAGAAATAAATCACTTTTACATATTATAATTACACGAAATTCTAACAAAACTCTCCAACTACTTAAAAAGATACTTATTATTTTTAATTTAGTTTAAACCATGTAGTTTCGTGTACCTACTGTATATATCTATTAATTTTGATAAAAATGGCTTCGTGAATTTCATTATAAAATCAAGGGTAATAAGATCACTGTATTTTCTATAATATTTTGAAATATACCTGTCACAAAATCTTGGTAGGTTTTATGTTTCTTTTCCTCTTAATATTTTCTATTAACATCTTCCTCCTGAACTTTTGACAGATGTTGAATTATCATAATTTTCACAATCTGAAAGACGAAATATAATCGTTTTAAAATTTAACCATGTGGTGGAAGGATTTTTGTCTAATACAATAGGCAAAATCCAATTACTATTAATTTTAGTTAACTCATAAGGGCATGAAAAACTGACATAACAAATACCAAATTAATTCTACTCCCACAAAAATTGATATTGTTATTTTTTATATTCAATGTAATTTATACAAATGCTCATACAACATCAAAGAAATTCACATGTTACTGTCATTTTTATAGATATCATCTCTGCCCAGCATGATCCGATCTGCTAAGTGTATATAGGACAGACTGGCCTAGTGTACAAACGTTTTATGATACGAGCATACAACTTGTTGATAAGCAGGCTAATTAACAAACTATTACTTTTATTGATTTATAACTATGATAATGTGTTTTCTGATTGATAATATGTTGTTTGATTACATTAATAAAAAGATAGCTAGTCAAAAACAATGTGCTTTCAGATATATCTTACCAAAGTCGTATCATTTACATGTATCAAATGCCATGAATCATTATCATAATATAAGAAACACATGGTATGCTTACAGTATGGGTAAAGTACTTCAATTAACAACGAGTAGTTTAACAACTACACAGATATCAAAATCATCTGATACATGTGTAAATGACTGGCCCCTCATATAAAGGAAATTCATGTTGATAAGAAATAAGAGGAGCATTTGAATAATAAGAGTCTAACGTACTGCATTTAACTTTTTTATTGATTTCAATTGCTAGGATATTTCCTACCATTGATTGTGCATTTATTTGGCATGGCGATATAGTGTGGTAAAATGATCTGATTATACAGACTGTTCTATAGCAAATGATACAGTGTTCTTACGTGAAAAACAAAAATATTTATCTCGCGAAATCACGTGACATTAAGTTTTACCAGTCAAACATTTCAATGATCAAATAACCATCGAATGCATGCAAACATGCGGTAAATTAGCATTGAAAAACAATATATAATGTTTGCCTACCTTTTTCTTTTGTTTGGAATTTACAACTTTGTCTGTAAACCCGTCGTTTTTTTGTCCGCCAATACAATTGAATTTCAAATCCGATAAGTCGCAAATTCGAATTTACTAAATTATTTACCACTATAAAATGAAGCCCTCAAAAATGATAACAACTTCATTGTAAATTATATAAACACTTCTTAGACTAATTTGAGGAGATAAGATATTATTTAAACGAAAATAGAGCAAATATATTTCATACTGATCTGCGACTATCCGTTTATCGAGCGCCATGCACCTATCGAATATCGTACGTTAGCCACCCACGTGATACTGTTGTTTTGATGGAGAAAATAAATATATAATGTTCCCTTTCTAAACTTAAACTTAACATTCTCGCTGTTTATGCTTTCATTTATATATATATTGGTTTCATAAATTAAATTCACCTATTGTCAGATTACCGACCAAAACCCGACGTCGAGTCGACGTCAAAATGAAGTGTCTGTTAGACGTCGGGGATTCAACGTCGATTTGACGTTGTATGAAGGTCACCGACGTCGCGACAAAAATTCAACGTTGATCCAACGTTGGGTAAACGTCGGGTGTTTGCTGGGTCAATGGCATTTATGCAAGGTATTTTACACCTGTACATTTTTTGCAACACAGAACAATATTTTACTCATTTCTGCAAAAAGTTATGATATTCTGTCCAAATTTGCGCATTTACAATGCTGATTAAATCCATGTTAATTTGTTTGCTATCATGATGGACCAGTTATTATATTTCTGTTAAAAAATTATAATGAAGCAGGATTTAGACTGCATTATATTTAAGTTCTAAAGCCAGATCCCTACAGCCTACAATCACTTTTAGTTAAGTGGGAGGCCTTACACTCTAACACTGTCTAACACTAAGCCATTTTTTACATATATATAATATGAGGAAACATTTTAGTATATTGCATGATGTAATTAATTGAATCAGGGTGTCCATTTGACCCTTGAAATGACCCTTTGACCCTTCAAATCTTCAATAAGCCTGATTTGACCCTCAGGATTTTAACTGATTATTGATTTGGTCCTAATTAATAAAATGTTTCATGCTTGATAGTGATGACAAAATGTTTTAATTGATGCATGTACATTTGTAAGACTTAAAATTTCGAGAATTGGTTTGTGACAATCAGACAGCTCTTGACTTTTTCCCTTAATTAAATGCAGTTGTTATTTTCTAGGGCTACACAAAATGCTCCTTACACTGCATTGATGGGAGTAGTTGTTGATGGCAGAATTCCAAAACGGGTAAGCAGTTTTATCTGTCATCTAAATAGTAATGTTACTTTTAAACTTTGATTTTCAAATATACATATGTGTATTTTGGAAAGCGTGATATTAGATCCCCATTCCCTGCACTTCTGTTGCACTCTGTGATGGCGATTTGAGTATGCCAGGCCAGTGCGCAAATCCATAAAATCTGACTGAGACTGCTTAAATCTGGTATATGAATAAATGTTGATATACAGACCTGGCAAACCACTTGTATTTCAAGGCAATTTCAATCATTAATATTTAATCTTTATAAAACTTTTCCTTTTCAATTGAATAGAGTCTTGACGGCTTCTTCTGATTGGAGAAAACATTAAGATCCAATTGTGCAATTTGAGGCAATTGTAGTACTATACTGTTTAAAGCCCACCCCTGATTGAGACTGTATGAGATAGTTGCATGCATGACTTTATGCCAAAATGGTGAACTGTTGTCTGCACTTTTATCAATGATCCATTCTAATTGCCTTTTAATATCTGTTCAGTGCCATTCAGAATCTATCAAAAACATTATTGAAGGGGTCTGGGCAGGGGAGTGGGAAATCAATTAACACCACTCTGATGTTGGCTGGTTTTATATTAAAATTTATTAAAAGTCTCAATGACTTATCCAAATGTAAAAAAGGTCAAGCTGATTGCAAAAATCCACTGCAGCGAGCCAAACATATAGAATAATAAAATTGTAAAAAAAACAAAAAAAATTGAAAATTGGTTAAAACTTTCATGTAAGAATTTTTTAAAATCAAGCTTAATTTAAGCTTTAGAATCATTGTATTTTAACAAATTTTGTCAGTAGCCTCTGTTTTTTATGACCCCCCCCCAAAAAAACCCTTAAAAAAACCCCAACCAAAACAACAATAACAATAAAAACATGTTCTTCTGTACTTTAATATAAAGAGTAATTGGCTGATAAAAAATCTGTGCTTATCAATCAAATTTATTTTGAGAATAACAAAATTGTAATTATATCGGTAATTCAAATATTTCCTGAAATGGCAGTCTAATTCAGGTAATTAGTATGACATTTTTTCTGTGCTTATTTCAATAGATTTATTATACTAAATGTGTAAATTGCCCTTTTTTTGATCACAATATATGTTATCTACCTTCATATAAGTATTTTACACTATCAAAAAATTCTTTATCAGACTTTAATAACATTTTGATTATTTTGTCGCTTTTGTTAGTCTGTCAATTGAAATGACCTTTTTAGGTAGACTTTCACACTAGAATTAAAAACCTTGTCAATATTTGCCTTTTTTATATTTCTATAGGCTTTCTTTGTGATACATGTAAAACCCTTGTAGAATAACTTGTAAATTAAATGAAGTGTTCAGCAAATAAATCTAATACCTATATCTGTATAAACACTTTATCTTGATTCAAATTTTCTGATCAATCAACTTGACAAAAATTGATACCTTAAGTATATCAATATTTGTACAGCTTTTAAGGTAACATGTAAATGTTGAATGTTTTTAAGTATTTTTGATTGATATAATATGTACACCATGCCTTGTTTTAGCATAATATTATAATGTAGTTCTTTGATCTAGTATAATAATTTACTTACATTAACTGAATAATATATTAGAAATTTATTTTTTAATGAATTGAAAGAAAAATTGATGAAAAAATGAATTAAATCTATTTTTAGCAGTAGAATTCACACAAACCTCTTATTATGGCATTTGATTATGCATTGATTTTATGTATGGTACTTTGTATTGCTTTGAACTTAGAACTATATCCGTTGTGGATTTAAGAAATTTTATAGTTCTTATATTATCGTAAGAAATTGAGTCAGTCTAGTTAAAAACATATTGTCATCTTAGTGCAGAAATACCTTAATGGGCTAACTCCTATTAGGTTATAGTAGGAATTAACCCGGTACTGCACTAAGGTAACAATCTACCCATCTGTTACTAAATGGATTTCAATTAGGTCATGCTAAAAAGCAGTTGATAACAAATTAGTTGTATATAGTTAGAGTAGATACAGATGATGTCCAGTGATAGCATATTGGACTACAAATCAATTTGGTGTATAGTTGGGAGCCGAGGGGCAGAACCTACAACCCCATAGGTTTTTCTAATGGGACTGTAAATTATCGAGGTCCAGCGTAATAGCGTTTCATACCATGCATGTTAATATACAAGTAAAATGGTTTCCTGCGGTGAACATTTTAATGATTAAAAGATATTTCATTTAACTATTTTCAACATTATTTGGGGGTGGGGGGATAAATAAACGTTTGTATCAGGAATAAAGTTGACAATTGAATAAACGATCAATATAGAAGAAGGTCTTTGGAAACTGGTGACCGTTGAAGACTGAAGAAGGTCGAACATAAAACAATTATTTCTTTTTAAGAAAATGATTAAATAGGCCTACCATTTTATGAATTATTCCGAGCAAAAAATAGATAAAGTAAACACACAAGTTTACGCAGAAAATATCTCTATTTATTATGGCAGATGCCACTACGAATATTTTAATTTTGTAGATTTTCAGTGTAAACAATTTATTGTTTGTAAAATTTGAGATAGATATTAAGGAAACATTGATAATTTTCAAACACATCATTCAAGTTTTTCCACCTTAAACAGTAAAATAATTATAGGAAAATTAGAAATATCACGCAATAGTTTTTTGTTATTTGTTTGGGTCGTCAGACCAAACAAATAATGGTAGCGAAATTTCAGACTCTAATGCTGTTAATTGCAAGTGCCGAAAGTAGTCCACTTTTTTAAAGCGGTTACTTCCCTTTATATGTAACACTTGGGCCGAAAAATTTAGGGGAGATCACTGCATAAATATAGTCACATAACAGGCGGATTAATTTTCAAGCAAAATAATTCCCGAATGGTCAAGATTTCTAATATTGTTTTATTCTTTTTAAATATACATGCTTATAGTAAGCGCCATGGTTATTTACACAAGTGTTAAACAACAGTTAGCGTCATCACAAACCCTAAATAGAATAATATGGTTTTCTTCAGGCTGTTAACATATAAATTCACCGTGGCCGAGGGGTTTGCGCGCTCACTTAGGAAGCAAGAGGTCTGGAGTTCAAATCCCAATTACGGCAACTTTTTTTTTTCAAATTGTTTAAGTCAAATAAACATTGGAGTGAATATCAGTGTTGCAATAACTCACGCTGGAAAGCATTGGTGGCACTATACAAAACAAATTGTTTTATAATCTCACAACCTTCACCTTTCTGACACCCAAACAAATTCAGCGCCTTCCGTGCTTTGATTCTTAATTAGGTGTAATTCGGACTAATTCCCAACAGGCAAATCCGTAACATACAGGCAAACGTTATTTAGCTAGGTTTTCGAAAAGGTCAATTAACTAATCATGTACGGTTTACAGATCACATGCTCCACCATGTACAGAAAACAGGTCACGTGCTTCTCCATGCCTCAAAAGTTAAACGTGTACCAATACCCTGCGGTCTCCAGACCGCAGGGAATAAAGTTTGGGACATTTTCTGCACTTATGATGCCAAAGACTTAAAATATTGATAAGTTTTGGTGAGTAAGTCATCAGTATATATTTCCTTTGCCAAACTACAGAAAAAGGGATGTCTGCAGAAAACAGACTGGGCAAGATTTTGACAGAAAAAAAGTAGACAAGCCCTGGTTAATTTATTTATTAAAGGAACACCACTGAGGTCTAAAAGCCATGTTTGAGTGAAAAGCATTGCAAGGCTTTTCAATTTTGGTTCATTTTTCATTTTTACTAGTAGAATGATCTGAAATTTTGCACTCGAGTTATTGGTGTATACCTTCATCAAATGGAACATTAATCATGTCACTAATAATGTGGTAAAATTTACTCCAGTCCCGTCATGTCTAAAAACCTCTGTGGAGTCCCTTTAAAGAGAAAAAGAATGTTCTTGTTTTAACATCCCTTTAATTGTGCTTGTTAATTGATTTTTATGCCACCGCAGCATCTGCGATGCGGTGGCATATAGCGATTCACCTGTGTGTTTGTTTGTGTGTGTGTGTGTGTGTTATATAGATTATATAGTGAACTTAAAAAATCTTCTTGTGAAAAACCACTTGTCCAATTTCAACCAAACTTGGCAGGATTGATCCTTGGGTGAAGGGCTTCCAAAGTTGTTCAAAGAATTTCATTCCATGCAGAAATCTGGTTGCCATGGCAACCAAAAGGAATTATAAGAATAAATTTAAAAAATCTTCTTGTAAAGACCCAAAAGGCCTAGAGCTTAGATATTTTGCATAAGGCATTGTCTGGTAGACCTCTACCAAGATTGTTCAAATTATAACCCTGGGGTCAAAATCGGCCCCGCCCCGGGGGTCATTGATTTTCACTATATGTACATATAGTAAAAACTTAAAATAACTTCTTGTAAAGACCCAAAAGGCCTAGAGCTTAGATATTTTGCATAAGGCATTGTCTGGTAGACCTCTACCAAGATTATTCAAATAATAACCCTGGGGTCAAAATCGGCCCCGCCCCGGGGGTCATTGATTTTCACTCTATGTACATATAGTAAAAACTTAAAATAACTTCTTGTAAAGACCCAAAAGGCCTAGAGCTTAGATATTTTGCATAAGGCATTGTCTGATAGACCCTTACCAAGATTGTTCAAATTATAGCCCTGGGGTCAAAATCAGCTCCGCCCCAGGGGTCATTGATTTTCACTATATGTACATATAGTAAAAACTTAAAATACCTTCTTGTAAAGACCCAAAAGGCCTAGAGCTTAGATATTTTGCATAAGGCATTGTCTGGTAGACCTCTACTCAGATTGTTCAAATTATAGCCCTGGGGTCAAAATCGGCCCTGCCCCTGGGGTCATTGGTTTTCCTTATATGTATATAGAACAAACTTTATAGTAAAAAAATTTCTTCTAGCAAATGCTAGAGGTAAGATATTTTGCATGAAACATTGTGAAGTGAACTTCTAGCAAGATTGTTCAAATTATAGCCCTGGGGTCAAAATTGCCCCTGCCCCGGGGTCATTGATTTTCAATATATACATATAGTAAAAAATAAAAAAATCTTTTTGTCTGAAGGTACAAGGCTTAGAGCTTGAATATTTGTTAAATGATATCATCTATAGGTACTCTACCAAAGTTGTTCAAATTTTGCCTCTTGTGTCAAAATTAGCCCCGCCCCATGGGCCATAGGTTTTCCTTATATGTATATAGTAAAAACTTAAAAAATCACCTTCTCTAAATTTACAAAGGCTAGAGTTAAGATATTTTGCATGAAACATTATGTAGTGAACCTCTAGCAAGATTGTACACATTATAGCCCTGGGGTCAAAATTGGCCCCACCCCCAGGAGTCATTGATTTTTACTATGTACATATAGTAAAAAAAAAAAAAAGAAATATTTTTGTCTGAAGGTACAAGGCATAGAGCTTTGATGTTTGCTCTATAATATATTCTATGGGTTCTCTACTAAAGTTGTTTTAATTATGCCCCTAGTGTTAAAATTGGCCCTGCCCAGGGGCAGTGATTCTCATTATGTTCACATAGTAAAAACAGAAAATAAAACAAATCTTTTCTGAATAGGAGAAAGCTACAGCTTAGATATTTGACTTGAAATGTTGTTTGGTGGACCTGTATCAAGATTGTTTTGAATTAAACCCTTGGGTCCAAAATTTTGCCTTGCCCAAGGGGACAGTGACCTACTTTCTTGTCCTTTAATGTACAGCAATGAAATTTTGACCATGTGCACAGTTTTAGTTGTAAAATTGAACTTTGATATCAGGTGATCTAGATTTTGATGATGTGACCTACTTTCTTGTCCTTTGATGTACAGCTATGAAATTTGAACCATGTGTACAGATTAAGATGTTAAGTGAACTTTGATTTCAGCTGACCTAGATTTTGAAAAAGTGTCTTACTATGTTGTCCTTTGATGTAGTCATGAAATTTAGGCTGTGTGAAATATGACCTTCACCACCAAATTCACTAGACTCAAGTGCATTGATATATTCCTACTCTGATCTTTTATTGAGTTAACAACAGATTTAACCACTAATCTGATAATAAGAATTAGATAGGTCAGGGATCTATGCATTATGACAATCTTCAAAATTGTATAGAAACAAAGAAAATCTGTTCCTACACTACTATTTAGTGTTGTATTAATGCGGTGGCATAGCATTTTTCTCAAATGCAATCTTGTTTTCTACTGTCATGTGCAATATTTTGTAACTGCCTGTTGTAATATTTAAACTATTTATTTCTATTTTGACATCATATTGATGAAATAATCTGCAAGTGTAAGGTTGCGAGAGTCTAAATCCGGCAAGGTAAATACCGCCATTGAATTTGCCGTCAAACACTTGTCTTTATCAGAGTAATAATCAATATCAAAGTGTGGTTAAACAAAGATTAACTATGATTATTTAAACATTATTTTGTTTAACATTCATTTTATCTTGTTTGAATGTTTCATTTAAGGTATTGTTACTATAAATTTAGCACTTTGGATGAAATGAGATTAAAGTTGATTTGATTGAATGTTCTTTTTTTCTAGTTTTTGAAATCATTGATTTTTGAACATTTTGTTTTAGGTTTCAAAGATACTGTATAATAGATTGAGTGAATAATATCTAAAAAATATATACATACATTTTTAAATGCCTGAAAATATTTTGTACTGTTAAGTTACAACTTGTAGACAAAGCTGGTATTAAAAACAATTATTTATTTGACTTGAGTTGCAAGGTAACTTACATAGGCATGACATTTTTCTAAGATTTTGTTAGACTACAAACAACTATTTTTTCACAATTACCATTTCAAATTTATTTTGAAAGGTATTGACTGTCTGGAAAAAAAACAACACCCCCCCCCCCCCCCCCAAGAAAAAAAAAAAAACCTCCAAAAAAAACAAAACAGTAAAAAAAAACTAAATACAAAACCCCCCAATAAGTGTCAAATGTACATTTGAAATCTAACTGTAAGCTTGCCTTCATTTGTTTAATAAGTTTGTTTTGTTTGATACTAGAATCATTAGAAAAGGAAAACTAGTTGGTGTGTACTTGAACCATATAAAAAACAAAAAGAAAGTAGGGACAGTGAGTTTACTGCGCGGGTGATTATTATTCGGATCATTATTATTCGGATCATTATTATTCGGATCATTATTTTTCAATTGCTTTGAAATAAAATCTTGATATTATTGATTGTATATTTATAATTTTTCTTGGGAATTCAACTATAATTTTTTCTTGGGGTTTCTTAACCTTTTGATTTAGTTATCAACCTAAAAATAATTCAAACTATATTCCCTATCAAACTTGTGTCTTAAAGTTTTTACTAAAGCAATATGAAGTATTTTTAGTACCAGATGTCTAAGATGTCTGTGTACTAGTAAATGCAATATCACTTCTGGGATAATAAGCAGACTAACTATTCAACTCTCAAAATATTTCCTGAAGCAGCAAAGATATTTTTAGCACCAGATCGATATCTAAGATTTCTGTGTACTAGTAAATATAATTTATAAATAATAGTAATAATTATAAATAATTTATAATAAACTTATAAATAGGGGAGGCAATCAAGTCAAGTATAAGATATGTTTTCGTCACAGAATTAAAAGACCCATTTGATTGGGAGCGAGCTGGTTTGTTTTCTGGAATCAATTATATAAGGAAGAAAAACACTTAACATGAAAGAAAAAGATACATGGAAGAAAAAGATACCTCAAAATTTGGAGACTGTGTTATAAGAAATTTTTGTAGTGTGACTGATATTAAATGACTTGTTTATTTTCAGCATCCAGTCACATCAAGATGTAGGGTAAGGAAACAAGTAGGTTTCACTAATCGTTGGAGATTGCCCGAGTCCTTGGGCAGTGATCTGTTGGGAAGTTCACAGGCCATCAAAGCTGTCAGCATGCCATACAATCAAACCCTTATGAACATTATTACTGGTAAAAGCTAAGTTTCATACTCTTTAAGTTACAAATGTATTTGATTGGAACTGAAATAATTATTTAATGACAATTCTTGCATCAAACTACACATGCAGGTAATATACATTAATGTAGAAGAGGATAGATTCTTGCGACCATGCATGCATGTTGTACATTAATTTAATATGTGTGACTCGTGGTGCAATGTAAAAACAGCTTAATGCCATGACACCGCATAGCTTTATTATCAAAACTTGACTTGATGTAAACTCTCATGCAAGAAAAGCACTTATGCACCTTTTTTCTATGCTGGAACTCTTTCGAGAATAAACCATAAGATTATGGAAGCAATATAAGTTCACTGTTGATAAGCTTCATAAAGATATATATTTATATACTTTAAGAATAAATTGCTATAAGGTTTCATTGGCATTGAAAGTACTGTCAAATATGAATAATGAAATAATATAATTATGATTTAACGGCACCTAAAGGGAAGATCGTAATGGTCACATGGCTATGACCATCGAATTTAAGCTGACAAATCAAGAATGATATTTTAAAAAAATCATCGAAAACGTCAAGTTAACGATTTTTTTATAACTAGTCTTTGTCTCCCATTGTAAAATATGTGTATTGCACAAAACTGTCCGTCTATACGTGCGATATCTAGATTTTTTGTATTCATTTGGCGAAATACTTTTGACTTGAGGCTGCTAGAATCTGGATGCCATGCAATATAGCGTCAACATTTCTAGATACCGTTGAAAATTATAGCTTGTGTGAGATAAAATTATAATTGCTTAAATACAGTTTATCATTATCTTATTTTTGCAGATGTTAACAGATCTTTTAGAATGAGTGTGGACAAAAAGAGTAAATATATTACGTTTGTACGGAAAATATGTAAGCGATTCGGATCTTAAAGGTGACAAATATCTAGAATGTACTTCGGAAGAGGCAAACAGCACCGCGATGAATACAACTTCTATTAAGGGCGATGAATACAACTTCTATTAAGGGCGATGAATACAACTTCTACTAACGGTTATACAACTTCTACTAACGGCAAGGAATACAACTTCTACTAACGGCGATTAATACAACTACTACTTACGACGATGAATACAATTTCTACTAACGGTTATACAACTTCTACTAACGGCAAGGAATACAACTTCTACTAGCGGCGATTAATACAACTACTACTTACGACAAGGAATACAACCTCTACAAACGGCGATTAATACAACTAATACTAACGGCGATGAATACAACTTCTACTAATACCAGCAATGATACGGCTGACTTGCAGATTACCTATGAGTCAGAGCATGCATATGTTGAATCACACAGTCCTGCAGTCAAGGTGGTGTTTATTCTTTCAGCATTAGTCTCAATGACGTCAACCCTGTGTGCAATAACATTTATGCTCCAAACAAGGAAAATACCGTATGCGACAAGGTTCATAACTACCGGTCTACTTGTCTTTGATTTGACATTTATAGTTCTGTCAACTATAAGGAAATTCATCACAGATCCTGCATTAAGTTATACTGTTCAGACAACATTGACAAATTTCTTGCAAATGACAGTTTTCACAGTTGGTTTAATGTCGATGGAACGCTACTTTGTGATCACTAGGCCAATGTTGTATATCCGTGTTGTTAACAAACAACTTGTTCGCAAAGTAGTTCTCATCGCTTGGATATGTGTTTTCATGTTATGTGTATCAATGCGCTATGGGTTCTGCTATTTACGTTACAAGTCAATGTCTGTATTTACCACAGCAGGGTTTTGTAATAAATTTATGACTTTTTATTACAGCTGTATACAGGTAACGATTCTTTGTATTTCATGCGGTTGCTACTGGAAAATATATCTCTGTATAAATAAAGTTACTTCTTCAACTATAACTACGGCAAACATAATGCGAGGGTACCGATCAACTTATTTGGCTTTTGTTTACCTTCTTGTCATAATTCTTTCCTCATTCGGGTATTTTACTATCATTATCCTGGTACAGACTAATCAAATACAAATGACAACATTACGGCTATCTATGGAAGCTGTGTCATTTTTCAATTGCATCTTGGACCAATTTCTTTATGTGTTTTGGTATGAGGAATGTAGGATGCAGTTTGTGAAATGTCTTGGAATATGTTCCGAAAAGTACAGACAGAAAGCGGAGCAGTGGAGGATAGATGTATACAATATAATTACTGCCAACCATGCATCCAAACATTTAGAATCGGGAAGGAAGTTCGATGAAACTAAATGGTAACTGATAATAGAGGAAAAAAAACAACTAAAAAAACAAATAAAATTAAGAACAACAAAAACAACAACTACAACAACAACAAACAAATACTCACGTCAATCCGGTATTGATGAGGATCGTTTAAGACTTTTTTCTTTTCAGTTTTAATACTGTACAGTGCAATATTTCTATATTTTTATTTTCATCGTTTACTTTTTTACGAAAACGACACTTGTTTATCATTTTACTATCATAGTACAATGTAATAGGGTTTATCTATATTTTGTATAAAATATTGAAAAGCATTGGCACAGATTTACTTGTTGCAGGCTGCCTCTAAATTTCAAAGGTACGCACATGTCCTTTTTTGTTGAGATTTTTGCTTTATTTGACTGTGTTATAGATAAAGTGCCAGATGATTTACCCATTTAAAGGCTTTTTACAAGCTTTGTCAGGAAATACGCAACAGATGATGACTTACATCCATGAATTTCCTTGCCATTATCATGAGTCTGATTAATATGTTCTAATGTTAACAACATGTCCAAAAGTAATTGTATCCAAAAAAAGATGTTCCATGGAAGAAATTTGAAGACGAAATCATTTTTGTTGATGGTAATTTTAGGCTTACTCGCTTTGAATATTACTTCCTTGACATTGGTCACATAATGATTTGCACAGACAGTCACAAAGAGTATATGTACGTTATTTCAAAGTCAAAAAAGGGAAGTAATTTGTCTGCGGAATTAACTACATCAATATCTGTTATTACTTTATCCATCATAGCTCTTTCTGCTACCTTATTCCTTTACTGTTTCCTTTCCAACCTAAGACAATCGGTTCCTGGCAAAAATAACTTGTCACTTGTAACAGCATTGCTATGTGCTCAGCGTCTGTATTTGATTAGTAGTTTCTCTGAGTTAGAAGAATATTCTACCATTTGCTTTGTGCTTGGTTTATTTGTTCATTTCTCCTGGCTTGTTGCTTTGTTTTGGATGAATATTTGCACATACCACATGTTCCGTGTTCTTACAAAAACAAGGGTGATAACAAGTTCATCGGGATTGAAACGATTGATATTGTATCATGCGTACGCTTTTTTAATGGCTGCAGTATTCGTCTCTATGAATATTGTCCTATCTTATATCTCAAACGGTGACTATGGATATGGTGGTAAAGCTTGCTATAATACTTCACAAAGAATGTTAATATTGACGTTTGGTATTCCGGCTACATTGATTGTACTTTCCAATCTTATCATGTTCACAGTTGTCGTGATCAAGATCAAACGATCTCCATCAGTCCAAAAGAATGTAAAAAACGAACGTAACGATATTGTCATCTTCGCAAAGTTATCAACCATCACCGGAGCGACCTGGATATTTGGACTGCTGTATATGTTTACCAAATCTATTGTATTATCATATATTTTCATTTTTCTCAATGCAAGTCGAGGTATCTTTATAATGTTTTCGTTTGTGGTAAATAGGCGAGTGTTCAATTCACTAAGAGAAAAAGTTTTGGGATTGGATGTTGTGTCATCAAGTAGTGGCCAAACGACAACGCGCACAATGTAGATGAACATCCAGGAAACATGATTTGAAACGAGAACTACAGGATGCTCCAGAGATACCCGGCATTAAGCCATACATTTAATGATTTTTAACTTAAGTTCATATTACAAACACTGTCTTAATGCGATATATATCCTCTATAAAAAAGGCAGTTAAACAAATTATGACCAACATATGCATATCGAAGCAAACATAGTACTGCGCATTCGTCGCAGTCTATACGCTGAGACAATGGCATTAGTATTGACGTCAAAATAACATTCAAAGTTTGACAAAGTATGTGTCGCTTGACGCCATACAAGGTCATTGCATTGGGTGAATAATTATGTTTTTGTTGGAAAATTTCGGATGTCGCTTTCCGTAAGTGTGCAAAAAGTGTGCTAAGTTACGACAGTGCTAGCAACTTAAACATATGACTCTGTTGTCTGACAATAACAACAACTTAAAATTGATACACGAATTGAGAACGAATTATAAAATGGTCTGACGACAATGGCCGTATTGTAGAGGAGCGAAACGTGTTTCGAAAAAAGCGCAGCCCTGTTGATCATTTGTCAAGACTCACAAGCTTAATTGATACACGTAAATTTAACATTCTGTTCTTTTATTGACTTTCGAGTTTGATTCCATTAGTAGATGTTACTTTGGCATAAAATGGTTATATTTGCCATATTCTCCTGTATGTTCTCCGCTACGCTCCCTTCGGAGCTCACTGAATACACTGACACTACTTCAGAAGTGAGCGATAGTGAAACATTCTCGGTCAGCATTGAGCTACATCAAGTATGCTTCTTATTTACGATTTTATTTAATGTTTTAAATTACATAAATGATCAAGCAGTTTCTCTTAAAAGTATGAATAAAGGTATTGATATAAGAAATGAGAAAAAATGTGTTTTACTTTACGCATTTTGTCATTATTGCTGAAAATGAAACTGATTTAGAGGAAATGTTAAACCACCTAAATGATTGGTGCCTTTTAATTGCCATTATATTATAATTATTATAAAGTGATATTGTGCACTTAAGACCACAGTCTGTGTCTAGATCACAATATATCTTTAAAAATGATATATCAGTAACTGGATATGCTTGCAAGTACATGTATCTTGGTATCATATTAGATGAATTCTTAGGTTATAATTTTACAACTAAATATGCTGCTCAAAGTGCTGGTGGTGCCCTGGGACCGGATGCGCAGGCTGGTCTGGATCCATGCTTGTCGCAAACCCTTTATGATGGTTTTGTCATGACGCGGCTCAAATAATGTTCGATAAAGCCTGTAATGTATAACTAATTTCAATGTGTTAAATGATTCAGAAAAATTAAAATTTCTGTTATCGTAATTTCTGTTCTACAGCCCTATGGTTAGAACAACTGCAAAAACTTGTTATAATATGCCGAAAACAAGAAACAATGCTCTATAGAGTATGTCTTTAGCTTTTGCGTAAAGTTTTAATCTATTTGTATATACATTATATTCTAAATGTTATCATTGTCACAATTCTATTATATGTTCTGTAAATTATAAGTTTTTAGCTATTACTTATATGTATATGCTGAATTCTTATCCATGGTAAAGGTTTTACATTGTGTTAGAAATTTCGTGGTATTTTGTTTGCTACTAAAGTTATATTGTCATTTTTGAAATCTCATTTCAGCATGGTAATGTAATAAAGTGGTTGCATGATTAGCAAGGAAAATCTTACGTTTATTTTAAAGAGTTGGTGTACAAATGTGTTAATGCTAAGAAGTCTCTTACAATTCTATATATTTTAAAATGGTTATGGGCAATGTATATGTACAAAATTTTATGTATTGATGTTATGAACTGTACAATGATGATACTTAAATAAAAGATTAAATCATCTATTTTGTTTAAACGATCTTTGGTTGTGCTAAATATCTATTATCTATTTTGTTTTAACGGTCTTTGGTTGTGCTATTATAAAATATCTATTATAAACGGTTTGTATATTTGACATTATAACTGCTTCTTTTTCACACACTGATTGACGTCAATTCGTCACCTCTATTCTTGACGCAAGTACTCATACTGTGTTTTAACACGCTTGCCAAATGGAAGCACTAAACTGCTATCACCTGCGGAGGGGTGTCAGTGGCCGAGTGGTTAAGGTCGTTGACTAAGAACAACTTGCCAATCACCACCGTGGGTTCGACAAGGACTATGGATTCGGTTATGTGAGGAAGCTATCTAGCTAACTAACGGAACGTCGGTGGTTCTACTCAGATGCCCGTTCGTGCCAGAAATAAGCCGATGTCTTCCTCCACCAGTACAGTTAGAAAGTCGCTACATGTGTTTGTGCGACATAAAACCCAACTGCCCAACAAAAGAAAAGAAAAAAAGAAATAAACCACTCCTGTTTGGCTACAAAATCTGGTCTGTTCTTACTGTTATTTTTTTGAAAAATACGATTCAAAACTAATAAAAGTTAAGACTATTTAATACAATGATAAGCCAAATAAGGGCGCCTATAGGCCATCGGTCACACATATGCATATTTGGAAAATATATATAAACACCCATTCATTTCAAATGAAAGTAATATTTTCAATAATTTGTTCCACTAATTATGATGCCATTGTTAATCCTTTCTTTTATAACTGAATCTGCAAATGCCAAAAATCTAATCTTTTTTAACACTTATTGTACTTTTTGACTTATTGTCGACTTGTCTATTCAAAAGGACATAATATGATCTTCATCTCATTTTAATAAACAACACCTTTATAATAAAATCCTTTTATTTACATTTCCTGACATTAAACGAGTTAAGAAACATTATACTTATAAACAAACGCAGTTTGACAATGGTAACAGTACTTATATTTGAAAAGAAAATTATAACTGGGGGAAAATATTAGAATTTACACTCTTCCAAGAAACAGGTTAATCTCCAAATTTTCTTTTTGCATCATGTTCAAGTAACATTGGTAATACTATAATTGTTTTCTTCAACCTAACAAGTGATACAATAAATGTATTGTAAACTATATCGGACATTAAACGATCTGTTCATGAATTGTGTTATTGATATGTTATCTTTGATGAACAAAATGATAAAAAGTGGGTCTAATTTCGTGAAATTCTTAACATCTATCGGGGCTTTTAATCTATGCAAGTACATATACAAATATTACTATAATATAATGGTCAAACATGTTCGAAATAACATACAAACCTATCACCTCAAATGAGAAATAGCCTCAAAAAATTTGAAAGGGACATCTCCTTCAATCATTGTAAATAAAAGTAGGTACTTTAAGATCATGGACTTGATTTTATTGAGTATATTCCTAAAGAGATAATGAAAAATGCATATTCTGCAACCAAAGAAATATCCCAACACTAAGTTTTTACAGCTGCCGAGAAGCATTGAATACCTGCTATTGTTAATGAACAAATGCTCGATAAGGGAACCTGGGTTTTATTGAGAAGTAATGAAAAGTGTGTGACATTTCTCACACAGAACAGAACAGATTTTATTAAACGTAAACTATACAGTTTCTAGTGTTAAACAATGAATAATACATATAATATTATATAATATAATATTGAACGATACATATAAGATGAAAAGTGAATGAAATTATTATGTATAACACAATAATGGATGAACTAATATTTTTAAGAAACAACATGCATACGTTATATAATGAAAAAAAAAGCAACATGTAATTGCATGTTAAAGAACAAAGGAAAAACACATGTACTTGCATTATTCAACAGATACTTAAAATGTAAAGTAGGAAATATAATATAATACCTAAACAGTTCAAAAAGGGAATCATTAAAATGTGAATATGATATTATTGTAAATGAATCACTATACTTCAAGAAGTTACATTGGCGCCTTTGAAAGAATATGATTTCTAATTTTAAAAGCCTCGTATGTAATTCTGAAAAGTTTTGACTATCTAAAAGGTTAACAAATTTAAACATACTTGGTTATTGTCTGTAATAAATTTCTTTATATATATTTTTGACGAATTACAATGTATTGTGGACAAACAAAAACAAATCGTTGCACCGATTTAAGCGGTATGCAATCATCAGTATTTATTTTTCAAGTATTGTAAATTATTTTCCGCGTTGATTGGTATTTTAAACGTTAATATGGTATTTTAAACGTTAATATGGTATTTTAAACGTTAATACGGTATTTTAAACGGTAATATGGTATTTTAAACGTTAATATGGTATTTTAAACGTATTTTAAACGTTTATATGGTATTTTAAACGTTAATATGGTATTTTAAACGTTAATATATAATTTTAAACGTGAATACTAGTCATTTACGCATTTATTATTCACGTGTACATGTTGATTTGCTATCTATTAAACAAACTACAGTACACAGAATCAATATCTAATAATTTTGAATTTCGACTTCATACTTTCTTATTATCTGATCTGTTTTATTTGTTACTTCTTCGTTGTTAGCTACTTTGTATGAGGAAATTCAAAATTACTAAGGCAAAATGGCCCTAATGCGCTTTTGTAAGATTCTCATTGTTTTCCTGTTATAATTTATACTTTTATGTAATTTCATTCGTGCTTCGTAAAGAAAGGTATGTTTTACATGCCGAAACTTACATTATTAGGAATAACCAGTTTGGGGTCACGCAAAAGTACATGCTATACAATTTACATTCCTTACGATAACACCGTTATCAATTTGCAAACACTCCTCTTTTTAAAAGTATATATTTTTTTCAATATACTAGGGAATTGATGAACATTGTTTTTCTTGTCAAAAGTACACATCTTGATTAAAAACCTTTTGTTACCATATTTCCATGCCTTAATTCTGCTGAGTACTGTAAACAATTTAAAACCTATATTCAGGAAAAACGTGTTTTATTATATTTGAAAATAATTACTAACCATAGT